CCAAAAAAACCGGAATGGGGCCGGGAGTATAATCGATTTCGTAATTCAATTTCACAAACCCCTAATTTCACAATTGCGACAGTGCCGTTAAAAAATACCAACGCCAAATGCCACTTTTTGACTCCAAAGACTCCGCCTTTGAAATAACCTTGATTTGCAACTCACTCCTCAAACTAAAACTCAACCTGTTCTGTTTTTCAGGTGGACTATATCCTCCAAGGAGGATTTGCTGGTGCTATGGTTTGGGATTTTGACCTCGATGACTTTTCGGGCAGGTTTTGCGGGGATGGAAGGTACCCGCTCATAGAGCATATCAGTAACAAGCTTCAAAACACTTTTCGATGGTGACAGGTTCTTTCTTTTCTCTGAAGATGACCTACTGGAAAATGTCTTCATGGAATGTCTCTTTCCGAAAATAAAAAAACACATTGTATGACCTATTTAGATTGTTTTGTGTTGGTTGAAAGGCGATAGTCAATTAGAAAACTGCATGTCTACTTTCCATTGTCCTTTGCTCTTTCTTCGCTCCAAATGACTTCTCCAATCGATCTTTAAATGCAGGTTCTTTTTTTTTTACGACCCCAAGGACGCAATTTAGAATCTTGAAGGTGGGCTTTCGACCCTGCTTGTCGAGGGGCAAACACAAATGGAGACATTCTTCCCACTCGGAGATCTAATTCGGGTCCCCTGTGTGCGACGGTGAACTTCGAACTGCAACACTGCAGATGCCCTATCGCTGTGTATATTTCTATTAACTAAATTACTAGGGTAACGCTTTTGGGCATTTGTTTAATTGCACCTCGCTGTGGTACTGAATTGCGTGTGCAATCTTATGATGGGTGGATACAATAAAATTGAATGAAGAGATGGATCTTGTATGTAACATTCCTGCACACAGACGCAAGGGCAAAGACACGGTATGACTGGTGACTGCACGCTAGACATTAGAACTAAACAAAATATTCAGCGACACTGGCAAGAAACTGCATGAAGATACGGTATTGTTGAAAGAGAATTCACTTTTATTCAAGACAAGATATGTTGGGTCTTGGTGTTTTTGGTTTTTGTTGGGGGGTTTTCGTCTCGTCTCAATATCTATATCTACCTATCGTTCCCCCAAAATTTTCTTCGCATACTCTTTCCATAGTGTCCATGTTGTCTGTCTCCGCCTGTCTGTCTCTGGTGTCTGTCTCTCTTGTGTCTGTCTGTGCCTCTGTCTCTGGAATGTCCCCCCCTCTCTCTCTGTCTCTCTGTCTCTGTCTCTCTCTGTCTGTCTGTCTGTCTGTCTGTCTGTCTGTCTGTCTGTCTGTCTGTCTGTCTCTGTCTGTCTCTCTCTCTCTTCTCTCTCTCTCTCTCTCTCTCTACTCTGGGACTGTCTCTGTCTCAGTCTTGTTTGTTTCTATCTGCCTGCCTGCCCGTCTCTCTCGTGCACACACATTCGCACACGTACACACTCGCACACATACACACTCACACCGACACTCACACCGACACTCACACCGACACTCACACCGACACTCACACACACACACACACGGACGGACGGACACACATACAGACGCGCATACAGACACGGACAGACACACGATCTAGAAATGGGTTTTGGAAAACCCCTTCGCTGATTACTATATTACATTATACAAGCTTCAAAAGAAAGTAGGCGTTGACAATGCGTTTGATCTTACCCAAACGGGTTTTTAATAAATGAAGCTGCTGTGTAACTGAAAGTTTGTGTGTTTAAATTGCGAAATAACACGCGCACAAACACGTGCGCATACAATCATTGCGTAGAAGCGCGCGCACGCGCACACGCACACGCACACACACGCACGCACACACACACACAGGCACATGTATATAAATGTACAAACGCACGCACAGCATAAACACCAGCATCAACCCATAAAAATTAGTTATCGCGTCTTTCTGCCTCTCAAACGTTTTAGAAAACCTCCACTCTCAATCCATCGGACCTCTGGTAGCTTACGTTGTACCAGCCAATGCATTAAGAGGACTTGAAATTCAAAATTGCATAGTTGTTGGAACATACGTAATTGTTGAACCATCGGTGGTTTTGTCTTATCTTGCTCCCCCTCTTCTCGCGCGCACGCACGCACGCACACACGCACGCATACACGCGCACACACACACGCACGCATACATGCACACACACACGCACGCATACATGCACACACGCTCGCATACATGCACACACGCTCGCATACATGCACACACACACATAAACACGCATACATGCACACACACATAAACACGCATACATGCACACACACACACACACTGGGTCATAAACACGCATACATGCACATTAACGCGCGCACACATAAACACACGCGCACACACATACACTAAATAACCGTATCGCATTCATATGCTTTCAGGGTGTATTGCAAAAAATAAAAGTTGTTTCAGATAAAGGACAATTTTTAGCTTGTTATTTTTATGGCTAGACTAAAAGTAAAAACTAAGCATTAAACGTGGTTTAAAAATACAATCAGCTGCCTTGCAATTTACGAACATAAATTGAGTATTGAACTAATGACATTTCGAACTCCATGACGTGACCGTTATCCTGCTCTGTACTTCTCTTTAAGCCCCGTGTCCACCAGACAAGAAACTGACCGACCGTTTATAGACCGTCTCTCGGGAACTGAGTTGAAATGGAGTAGCCGTTTTTTAGTTTAAAAATCTATGAAAATTCCGTTGAGCTGTGACTACCAAAACGACACGCCTCCCTACAAAAGACGTGTCGGTTAGAACACCGCATTTGGCATTTTTAGGCCCCCTGCACATATACGTCCCAAACTGTCAGTTCGGAATGGAAAGGCAAACCTGGCGGCAGAACCGCGTATGTTGACGAAAAACTGCTAGGAAAAAAAAGTTAAAGCGGGAGGCCGAACCGAACCGGCGGTTTCAACGTGTGGATTTTCTTAATACAGTTCAGCACGTTCCGTCGACGACAGCTTTTCTGACATTGCTGGCCTAGCCGGGCTAGGGACACGGTGACACGGATGGGGTTCATCATATTAACAAAAAACGCTTTTTGTTAGGTGAATATCACCATCTCCTCCCACAGCTTGTGAATGATGAGGAAAAATTCATTGAATATTTTCGAATGCAGCCTTCAACATTCAGAAATCTTCTAGACCTGTGTGAGGAAGATTTGATAAAGATGGCAACAAATTGTCATAAATTTCTGGCCTTTCTTGCACGGCAATCAATTTCTCTTCAAATCCTCCATCTTGACAAGAACAATCACTGTGATCGTATCTTTATTTAACTCCCTTGAAACATACAGACAGGAGAAGTAGTGCACGCACTTTTCGAATTTTCCTGACTGTCGCTGGCTGTTGCTGTCTGTGCCTGTCCGTGTTCAACATAGCCGGGTTGGTGAAATCATGAGCGGTTTTGGCGTGCACGCTTTTTTAGGTGTTGCTGTGACAGCAACTGACTGTCCCTGTCCGTGTCACCGTGTCCCTAGCCTTATCTTGTCACTGCCAATATCTTCAAAATCATTTTCCGCTTATAAAATCTGATTACATTTTTTAAACGAGCCACTTATTTGAAGGCCAAATACGAGCAGTTCTTCCTCATGAGCAGCATATAAAGAGCAAGCAAATCGTCATTGTCTGTTCACTCTCTGTGGTTAAACCATACGTGATGTGGATGAAGCGCCGACCCGTCGAAAGACGGTTTTGCGCGGTGGTCCGAACGCTGTTTTCAACTCAGGATAAAACCGCTCGGTTGGAATGTACATGTGCAGGGCCCCTTAACGTATAAACTGAGTGCATTCGTTTTCGTCTCCAATCCCTGTTGCCCCCAGCTTGACCTTTCTTTGTAGTTGCCGAATCATCGGGGGTTTCTCTTATTTCATCTCCGGAAACTGAGTGGACCCCTCTCGTTTTCCTCTCCTTTTTCTGCCGCTCCCACTTGGAGAGCTGAACGCGAACGTTTTATCTCGAGTTCTCTCTCGGCAAGTGATCAGATCACTAGAATTGTCTTTTTCTTCTCAATCTACAACAGTGGACTCGGTGTCACTGAACAATTCGCTCATTGCTGCAGTGCAAAACTTGTTGTTCTTTTCTCAATAATATGAGGTCCAATGAGTTTTAGGTCGTATCCAAATGTAGGAAACACATTTTTCTTCATCCCCCAAAACTTCATCCAGAAGATGATGATATTCTCCAAATTCACCTCATCGTAAAAAAAAACCCCACTGTGTCCAGTACTGTTTTGGGACGCGTTCTCTTCTTTTCATCCAAAACAACGAGTAATTGAAAAGCCTCCGTTATTGCTCAACACAGGGGTAGCAAACTCAATACAATGTTGATCTATTATATTAATGAATTATTAATTTTCACGAACGGAAAGCGAGCGGAGACAAAAACGTCACATTCGTTTCCCTCCCTTTTTTGTGCCATCAGGTAAATGGGTCAGACTGGAAACGAAAGAGAGCGGAGAGGAACAGGAATGCACTCAGTTCAAGCGTTTAGTCGGGCCGTGTGGTGACTCATTCATCAGTAATACGAAAGAAACAACAAAAAGATACTCTTTCTCTTTCATGCGGTATTTTGTTCTTACACATGCAGTGATCACAAATTTTGTAGCTTATTGATGAAGTTGTGTGAAAACGGTATCTTTGACTGTGACCTGTCGTACTAAGGCCTACCTTATTACTTAATACATGTAGTTTTATTTGTTACTCGGTCGGGTCTTACTTGGGAGTTTGAAGACAGGGGTAGGAAAAAAAAGATGGAAGATGAACTGACAGAACCATTTAGATATTCATACAAATACAAGGTAAATTCATTTACGACAAGAGTGACTAAAAGTACAGCAACAAGGCTACGACAGTGGTCTATGGGCGAAAACATAGAGAACGCCGATTTCGAAGACTGACTCAATAAGCGCCGATTGGTATAAAAATTCCCTTATGATTTCCAACTTGCCCCACATAGAGCTGGCACACTGCAGGCGGCTTAAAGCTCGGATCGGCGTTGTCAGCTTTATCGGAATCCAAACTACATTCTTATAACGCCGAAAAACTGGGAAGGGCGTCTCGCCGTCAACTCGCAAACTCAGTGCTTTCTTGTCTTATCTCCATTTTTTAACAGTAAAAATGTGACTTCTTCTTAAGCTCACTCTTACTCTTTGTTGTGAACTGCTTTCATTGTCATTAACAATGGAGATGCGACAAGAAAGCACTGAGGTTGCGAACTCGTGCCGTCTCGCCGTCGCCAACTCGGGTTGAGCGGTTTGCGTGACGTCACCCGACTGGACAGGGGACAATTTTAAATGGCCATTTCAGAGCTGGTGCTTTACGGTAAACAAAAACTAATTACATTTTTTAAATCAGCGTCGGCAAATTAGGATGGCAACAGAGCAGAATTACATTTTAAGCAATATTTTAGGAATTTCGAGT